AAATCAAGGGGGGCGCCGCTCAGCATAGTCCACGACACAGGAGAGTGAACTCTACTACAGCCTTAAGAAAACCAAGCAGCAATATATGCATCCAAAAAACGCTGATCCCATGAGGCTACTCGATCTGAGTCCCCTCCTTTATTAGAGCTACCGCGCTCGCACCTTGTTCCTTGAGAGTGATAGCATCCTTGGCTTACACTTCTTTCTCCCTTCGGAAAAGAGGAACCAAGATCATTAGTAAGAGTAGTAGTATAGTGGTTTACATGAAGAAAGGCCAAGGATGTCGCGAGGGCTTTAGAATCAATTCAAGGGGCGATCTTTCTATAAAAAGCAAATATATTCTGCACCCAAGGATCAAATGGTGTTAAGGACATGCTTCAGCAGTAGCCGTAACCTTAGAAGCATCAAGGTACTCCAGTAGACTGACTTCATATGGGCAGCTGAGCGTGCTCGCGGAATTCGTAGAGTGAAGGAAGGAATGATGTCCATGCCGACAGAGACCATAGAACACGTGACCACGAACGAGTGTAGGTTTCGACATATTACACACACCACGATCGACCCCACGTATCAGGTCTTTACACCGAAAAGCGGCCTCTCGCAGTGCTGTTTCCTCCGCTTCTGCAGTGTGCGAGACGAATTCAACTACAAGACTGGCTAACTCGCGCGCCTGTGAAGCAGGCATTTCTCCCGTAAGTGATGTCGCCAAAAACATTGCCATCATCTTCAACAGGCGTCCGCATTGTAGTTTTTCCTCGTTTATTACGTTTTCTGCTCCTTATTTTAGATGACCTTACTTAAACTATAGGGTATAGAGAGTTTTCCCTGTTGTCCCAGATACTGACTTAAACATTCATCTCGAAAAGCATCCTGTGCGTGGTTTCCCCTTAGACAAAAGGGCTTCCCCTTACAAAAGGAGCGGAAGATGCTTCTGCAGATGAATTGCTGTAAGCCCTAATTCTTCCTTGATGCTTTTTGTTTCTCCATCTTTTGCAACTTCACGCCCATGGCCTTCAGATTCTTCATGAGACATGTACACGAGTTTTCGAAGTATAACATTCTCTGCAAAGGGTAGAACTTCGCGTCTGATCTGTGCCAGAATTCGTCGAAGTTCAGAGCGGTTCTCTTCTTCTTAGAGCTCATCCGAATCCACCATCTTGAGAAGCATCCTGTTCGTTGCCAACGAACAGGATGCTTCAGCAACGAACAGGATGCTTCAGCAACAGGAAGCATCAGCAAGCGCAATGCACTTTTCTCATTGAAGTCAAGATAGAATGCCTCCTTCTCATTGAAGTCGTCATGCTTCAGAAGATGGATTAGGGTAGTAAGGTAAGCTTCAGAAGATGCCTTAACCTTCGTTATGCAGGTTGTGGAGGTGTTCGAGTGCTGCAACCAACATGCACAGGCATTTCCCGTGCCCGTCATTGAGTCGGCTGAGTGCCTTATTAAGTATCGTTCCACAGACATCCACCAGAGAACTGTTCCCTCGCGGCTTAGACTGTTGACCATAGGGTAAAAAAGTAGGAGCTGGAGCCACACGAAGTATTATATTTTATGAATGATGGGCGGACTAAGCTAGGATATTCCATGAGAGAAACAACCTAAAAGCCTGTTGCAGTTCTTGCACAATATTGTATCATGATGGGTAAAAAAAAAAGGAAAGTTGCATTATATTATGGGTAAAAACTTTATTTCGCAAGATAAACTGTATAATTAGCGCTCTTTAATATGGATCATTTGTGATAAGAAATTAATGATGAAGTAGACGAGTCTTGACAAGCCTTAAGAAACTTGCTTCCACGTGAGCGCGACGGCCCATCTAGGGCTAGAATGCGTGCCGGACGTTTCACAATAATCTGCCCCTCTGGAGTGATCAGAAGTACGTGCGACCCAAAGGGTCCAAAACTCTCCGCCACGTTTTAGAGCTCAGAACACTTGATACTATTACTATGTATTTGCTTCTTCATCCCTTCAGAATAATCATTCACTTCTTTTAGAGCTCCACACAATTATTCACAATTGTTATTCCTTCAGAATAAACAGATGGAATTGAATTGCGTCAAAATGACGATTCGTTGGAGATGAAAGAATTGACTATTCTGGATATCAAACCTTAAAACTTTAGTCCACATGTTGGAGTACAAGATGAAAGAATAGTATCAAACCTTAAACTTTAGTCCACATCCTTCCGGCAGCGAGCCGCCATGGACGCAGGACACTGTGACCTTCATTTTTGAAGCAGCAAGCATTTTGACTCTCGACGCGGCCCATCGTACTTGTGTTAGCCTGTAGAACTACGATCTAGAACTCGACACCATAAAGCCAGCAAAATAGATACTCAACTGCATCATTGCATCATGCTGTTTTCAAGCAGCATCATCATCATGGCGTCTCAAGTAGAACTCCTAAGCTACTGGCAGATTCAACGACGACAGAGTGGCCATGAATGCGTCCAGCTCTTATATACCAGTGAGAAGTGTAGTATGCTAATGGATATGAAAATTGCACTTGAATTTGTATCCATTTGAAAAGATGAGAGAACTAGTAGTTAAGAGCCATGTGATAGTTGAGATATCAGAAGTATCAGAATGATGAAATTGGTCCGAATTGGAGATGAATTATCGAAAAAATCGCTTTTTATCGCCAATAAATCGAATTCAATTCCTGGAGTCCACTTTTCTCTCGATTCAATCTGCTTCGGAACGAAAACACCAAATCAAGATAAACAACTTGGGCCCACCCATGCTACAGACCTGACACTGCATGAAAATGAGAGAGATTTTCACAGTTGTTTGGGCTAGTGTCTCAGAAAAGCTCACCATCAGGAAATGAATTCGAAAAAGATAGCATAAAACTGAAAATTCTTGGATAAGCCAAATTCAAATCTCAAATTATTGAAAGACTCAGCTCAAATTGATTCTAGAAAGTGTCGATATGAAAGAATGACTCTAGTCAGTCTAAACATTGTAGCATTCAATCAAATACAACTTTTATCATTCGTAGAAGATTTATGCACATATTATGATCACCCTGCACGTTATCTTTATGAATCTGCCAACTAATTCCACAACTTCATCAAGAAACCCCCGTGCTTCGAGCTCAGCTCAATGTCTCTATTTGCTCGCTGCACGAGCATTGTGCTTGTACTCATTGCACGAGCGGCGATGTGCATGTTCGTAGTGGAAAGATGTTCTCACACTTAGAAGTGCTGATCCATCAACTAGTGCTCTCCATAGCCATGCTAAGTACTCTTTTCTAATCATGATCCTCTGATGCCATGGTGTGAGCTCTTTTCCGATGCTACTCAGCATGTAATCGTGCAAAAGGACCGGCCAACGATTCTAGACCGACTACACAGGCACCGACCAAGTGTTTCTTTGACTCTCTCTACGTCAACTTCTCCTATCTCTCACTCTCTCAGCTCCCCCTGCTCTTTGGCATGTGTCTCCTCCTCCTGCTCTGCTCCTCGGTGCGGTCCTCCTTGCGAGAGAGAAGAAACTAGCTCGTCCCCTTCAAGAGAGCCAGGGTCCGTGAATAGTCCATCCAAGAGACACAGTCCCCTTGATTTTCAGAGATTTCTATTTTTCCTCAACTTCCACCAAAAAATGCATCCTGTGTGTGAACGCATTCACCACAGTGTCACAAAAGCGTCTCCTAAAAAGGCAAAAGCGTGTCCTCCTGATCAAGATACTGCTTCACGATGACCCAGATTGTGCATCTGCGTAGAAATCGATTTATTGACTGGTGTGCCTGGCATGAGGTCGATGCTCTTCTAATTGTTTGCAAATCAGTAGACATATCATCATCACCAGTGCGTCATAGATGGTCATTCTTCTGAGAGCATCCTGAGAGAGAGAAGAAAATCAGTTTACAGCAAAAACGGACCTTT